CTTGTTTGATCATGTTTCCATCTATCAACTGTTCCACATGTGAAATACTGCTTAAATCTTCGTTAGTAAAACTGAAGAAAAAGCAAATGTAATAACCCAGCCATCTCATAATCATCAGATACTAGCCTTTCTTTATCATTCTACGAGGGTCCTACCCCTATCCTAATATTCTGTTTAACTTTAATGTATTTAAAAAATGGCCAGGTGGTTAGGGCGCTCGACTCGCAATCTGTGGGTCGCGGGTTCGAATCCCCGTCATACCAAACATGCTCGCACTTTCAGCCGTGGGGGCGTTATTATGTGAAGGTAATTCCCACTATTCGTTGGTAAAAGAGTAGCCCAAGAGTTGGCGGTGGGTGGTGATGACTAGCTGCCTTCCCTTTAGTCTTACACTGCTAAATTAGGGACGGCTAGTGCAGATAGCCCTCGTGTAGCTTTGCGCAAAATCCATAACAAACAATTTAAAGAAATCTTACTGTAAATTTTTATATTTTCAGCCAACCTTTTCTCATACATCCTTTTTTATCTCTTCTAAGTCTTGCAACAGTATCCAGTCATGTGACCTCTTTGTTCCATACTGTATATATATATGTCTATGTTAGTGTAAACTACTTGTACCCGATGATGACAAAACGTTATACATTTGCTGTTTTTGTTAAACTTATATTAAAATTTTTTCTTCATTACCCATTCAAGACTTCTCCAAGCATGATTAGTCTCAAAGTGTGTTCCTCGTCATCGAACATATATGACATTGTTTTTCGTTCGCAGGTAGTGCGATGCTACCGAAAGTTTATCGTTTTGGGGAAAAACACATAACAACCCTTTCAGACGCAAAATATTCATACATTCAAATCAGTGCTTTAGAATTTCCAAGACAGTGATATATCCCTTGTACTTAATGAAATAGGAAAACAAAGGAACATATTTCAAGTTGGGCACGAGAACCATCCAGAAAGAGACCTGTAACAAGTACCCCCACCACTAGATACTAAGCAAAGTGTAGCGTCATGTAACAGATGAGAACCATAAACACGGATGTCAATGACAAAAACTGTTTATGTACTTTAGGCAACAGCACCCAACACAACCAAGGGTTTTAGTCTGGAAACTAGGGTAACAGGATATGATTTCATCAAGATAAGGCTTCTCTAGTCAGACCTCCCGTTCAACCGTTGCAAGAAAAATGATTCACTTATTAATAGTGAAAGGTAAGGATAATTGGGGAGCGTTATAATGTGACGGTCAATCCCATTATTCGTTGATAAAAGAGTAGCCCAAGAGTTGGCGCTGGGCGGTGATGACTAGCTGCTTTCCCTCTAGTCTTACGCTGCTAAACTAGGTACGGCTAGCGCAGATAGCTAGAGCAGCTTTGCTCGGAATACAAACAACAAAGATTAATTATTTTACGCTCCAGAAGGCACTTACAATGGAATGTTTTTTAGCACGTTAAATACAATCAAAAGCACTGAATAGGAAGCAAGCAAAGCAACATTTCAAGCGTGGATATGAGAAAGACAACAGAAGATGCAGAAAGAAAATGAAAAAAAAAGAAGGCTTCCAGCAAGGTCTCGTTTGAAATATTAATGCCAACTTTTTAGTTCATGCTATTTTACCTCCACAACATTCTCCATTTGTCTGAATTGTAATGGTATTTTTGTCAAGCACTTATCACTACAAATGAAACAGTTCACACAAAAGCCTAAGGCTGAGTATTGCGATCATATTTTTCGAAATCCTTGGCATACAGCATATTTCAATTATTATAGAATGTGTGACTTGAATGTATAACTTTAGACACGTATTATGAAATTTTACTGTCAGTTTGGTATCTTTTTTTATTTTTCTAACCTTTCTTGCAATTCTGTATAAAAGATGCTTAATGCTGGATGCCGACGGCTGAAAGGGCGAGCATGTTTTGGTGTAAACTAGAAGAAAAGCAGCTAGTCAACACCTCTCAACGCCAGCTGTTGGGCTACCCTTTACCATAGAATAGGAATGATCTTCATATTATAACGTCTCCCCACAGCTGAAATAGTGAGCATGTTTAGCGACAGGTTGCGATCTCACGACCCAAATCGCCAGGCCCCAATAATTAATGCAACCTGGAGCACGAATTTAAGATCAAACACACGCCTCTTTCCTACTGTTCGTAGAATTGTACACTCAGAATTTTTCTTAACTTCTGACAAATGCACATACTTTTGATATTTGTAGCCTTAACAAAGTACGCATTCATGATGATATAAACATTATATAATGGAATTATGTAACCGACCTTTTTTACTGCTCACAACTGATAGGAATATGGATATTCCATCATATTGAGTAATTTTTTGTTTCTGTCATGAAACGCTTGGTTTAAAGAACCAACCAAAAAAAACTTAGGTGAAATTACTTTTTTTTTTAAAGTAAGATGCACAGATGACACCAGCAGTTGATCAGTGGGTTAAATTTCAAAATTTATGGTATTTTTGCTTACACTTTTGTTTGTACAAAGTCAAGAACCTCAAGCAAACCTGTGCATAATTTGAAAAACGTGTTTACAAGATTGTCGGGGTTCAATGGACCTCATGGATTTAATTCTAGGGTTGATATGTGGTTCAAGTTATCGGGTGTTTATAATGACATTAATGTGTTATTCACACTTTCACATTAAATTACATTTTAAGTTCATGATCTGTTTGTTACAAATTATGAAGAACTACAATTAGTGGTAATATGTTAAATTCCACAATTTTAAACATGTTTGAACTCTGGCTATATCCCTACTGCAACAGTTGGGATAAAGTGAACTGATATTCTTGTGGACTCCTGTCATTATTTCTCCTGATGGCTTTGGCACAGAAGCCCGAAACATTGTCTCAAAACCATGAAAAATAGCAGAAATTCACACAAAAACGTAGTCTAAATACTGGATACACTGCTTAAATTCACTTTATAAGTTCATCTAAACATTCTCAGTTCACTATATTTGTGTATCAATTGTAGTTCTATGATTGCATTAAAATGTTGGCAGATATATATAACTGTGGCTACACCCTATATTCAATTCATCAAAATAAGTTCCAAAACCAAATTTTTTATTTCACTCTGCAAGTTTTTATTTAACCATAACTTTTCAAAAACATATTACTGGAGACATTCATTTAGTGTCCTCTACCCCTTCCTCCCCAACAAAGGGATTACATAAAACTAAACTTCTCATAACAAGCACAAAAAGAAACCCTACCATTATATTAGTTTCCACATAGAATCATAACAATTTATAGTTTAATAGTAGGTAAGTGCACAATAATGTGCAAATCAAGCTAAAACAAAGTTTAAATATACTATTACAGAACAACACCAAGCTTATACAGTTACCAGTTGAACACTTTTATATGTCCTTTTCAGACTGAAGAGACCATGTGAAATGTCAAAGCTTGTATCTCTATACATTTATTCTGTAATAGTGGATTTAAACTTTATTTTAAATATTTCACTCTTAATGCATGTAAAAGACAATTGTTATCGTGACAGAAAATTGAGTAAAATCTATCAAAATGAATATTTTTAATACATACACAACTGATATAAATTAGGTAGTATATTAAATCTGCAAGACTTACAGTTGAGACTTTGAATAAAAACTTGTACATAACACAAGCTAAGAAATTTTAAAATATCAAGCCTTGCTCAAGAGTCTTACATATAGCACCACTTAATTTCAAAATTTTTCATGATTAAAAAAGTCCTTAGTTCTAGAGTATTTTAATTTTTCATAATAATTCCTTTGAGGGAAATTGCTCAAAAGACAATGGCACTATTAAAACACAATCTACCCAAACTGAAGAAACATTTACAAATTTCAAAGGCACAATATAAAGCATTTATCTGTTTTCTACAACTTAAATAATTCTAAAGGCACATTATGAGGAATTATAACAATTTTGCATACTTAAAAAAAAAAAAGGCTTCATTAATTTTATAATACAATTCTTATAATGCTTTACTCAAAGTTTACAATCATATATCACGAATAATACACAAAAAAAATCGCAACATCTGTAGCAATTTTTTTTTAGTTTCATCTACTTGTTTGCTGTTAAATACAAAATTACAAAATCGTCCATCTGTGATGTGCCCAGCACAAGTATGGAAACTCAGTTTTTAGCATTATAAGTCTTCAGACTTACTGCTGAGCCATTTGTTGTTTTTTTTAGCTACATAAAATTCTTTGTATTCGTTGTGAAAATATAACAATTTAAGATTGGAAAAATCATTAGTTAAGATTTTTTTTTTAGCCCCTCAAAATCTAACAGTAACAAGTTTCATCAACAGAAATAAATTAGCACATCTAAGTTCTGTAAAAAATTCATTTATGAAAATAACCCAGCTCAGTAATGAGTTACTTTTGGTTTAATTAAAATTGAGTTAGATTATCACTTGAATTACTATGCTAAAGCCTTCAGCTAGAGCCAAGTCTTACAAATTGCATACTCACATATAGATTAACCCCTTCCAGTATTTGTTCAAGATAACTCGGGCACTTTCATTTCCACATTTCAAAACATTTGTCAGAGCAAAACATTACTTGCTATGTCTTTTATTATTTACCAGGACTTATTCACATGCTATCATGTATTACAATAGTCTATCAAAATGTGAAATAAGAAAAAAAAAAACTACCTTTTTTAGCTCATTTCCAAAAAATTCTGGCATGAAGGGGTTAAAAACTAGAATTATAATCCAAAGAGTAAGATTGTTTTTGAAATTACATAATTTTCCAGGAGCTACTGGCAAATTTATGCATATTTCTTCTAAAATATTTGCCACAATTGTTCAACTAATACTGGTAAAGTTGACAAACAACAACATAACAATATCAAATACAGAAAAACCTGAATGCATCAAGTCATTTAAATTTAGAGCACTAAAACTTTTCTTATTAAGATAGTAAAAGCTTTCATAAAATTTCTCTACTTGTTATTAAACTACATCCAGTACATTAATGTTATATTTATCTCATTGTTAATATTTCATTACTATTGTTATTACTTGTTTCACTAATCTCTAATTTTTATTGATGTTTCATTTTACTACTGCTAATTACTAGTTTTTAAATTAATTCAAGCTTAAACTGACTTTATTTTTTTAATTTCAGATACAAGAAAAGTGTTGCATGAAACTGTTAAGAGATAGTAGATTCTGTTTTTATTTTGTTATGGTTTTGTTTACCATTCATTTATTATTCTTTCCATCATTTAGTTTAGCTATGAATTTTTAGTTATATTAAAGCTGATCACATTGATTTTTAGTAATTATGTATTATGAAACTGACACCAGTGATGTACATATATTAAAGTTGTGAAAGATTATGTAAATTTATGGTAACAGCTAGTCACATGAGACGTAACATTGTGGTCTAACGACTAAATAAAAGCCCTGCCACAAACTTCTACAAGTTAGTTCATGAGATATAGGTCAAATGTATTATTTCTGATTGTTACTCGATGTTGTTAGTGATTTTGTTTAAATTCAGAATATTGTTAATTTAGAATTAGGTTTTTCCTGATTCTGTTATTTATTGCAGTAACTGTTAACATTGATATATATATGTTGTGTTGTTCATTATGTTTAAATCAAGTCTTGGACAGGAATGTATTTACTAACTGTGTTTTTGGTAAGCAATAAACTTTACATCCCAACTGTTTGAAAGTTTTATTTTGAACTTCTGTGGTTGTAAAAGTTTAATAAGTTGTTTTTGTTTGACCCTGGTTGTAGCTGCTGTCTGTTTTACTCCATTACACTGCTAGAATAAATAATGAATCATTAGCTGAATTTTATCCTATATTATTGATACCAGAATATGGTCCTTTACACAAAAACAAAACAATAGTGTAATTCAATAAAGTTTTCATTTGAATTTACAATTTTTTAAGCTACAGAAGACATTTTGCACATATGAATTAAATCATGCATTATCACATGTAAAATGTAACCTAATATCACTTATAATGAAAGTATTATCTTGTAACTTGTAGATCTTTAAATTCCATCATAAACTTAAAACAAACAAGATAAACTAAATTGTTTCAGATGAATATGCAAGTTTTTCAGTGAAGAAAGTGAATTAAAAAAACTAAAAATATTAAAATAACTTACCAGGTATGTCGCACTATCTTTTTCAATAGTGCTAAAGGAACAATAAAAATGTTTCAAGACAATATTTTCCATCCAAAAAGAGGTTAATTAAAAGCTATAATGTATCATCAATAGTAACTACACATGACAGAAAGTAAACTTAACACTGACAGAATATTAAAAATCCAAGTTTGAATGAAAAATAATCGTATTAGTTCTCTTTTTCTCCATTTGGGGTCTAGAATGTATAAGCTAATGCATCACTCCCTCAAAATTATGTGGTAAACCAACTAGGGAAGTACCAACCTGAAATTCATGTTGTTGTCTTCCCTTTCTTTGGGTTTTTTATTCTTACTTTACTTCAATAAACTGTTTGTAAAAGTGATAAACTGCAATGATTTAACAATTCTTGGTCATTTAATAACTTACTTTAATGGGAAATATTATGCACATGATGAGCTCTTTCAAAGTTTTAGATAGAACACCTTTATAAAAAATTATAATTTAGCATTACACATAGTACGTTTTGGTGGGTTTTTTCCTCAGATTAACCAAGTTTTGTATGACTTTCAGACAAGTTGATACAAGTAAATATAGATGGTCAACTTCAATAAATTTAACAACATTTTTTAAAATAATAAAACAAAAAATTAGTCCATTCTAATGAATTCTTGAAGCTATAAAACCATTCAGGCTAGAAATACAATCCATAAAAATGCCCACTGGTTTTCTGATATATTATAATAAAAACAATATTTTTGGCATTGAATGACTTAGAAGAACAATGACAAAATATTAATACTCCTTTTCTATTATATTTAAGATAAATAAATAAACCAGCACAACTTCTAATCTAAAAATGGAATAATTTAAAACATAACCCCCCACTCCAATTACTTAATTAAAAGAGTACTTCCATACCTACCATATGTTCAATATTTTCTAAGTAATTAAATTACGTTTTTTTTTTCATTGTATTTGATAACTGCTTTAGCTCCAGAAACTTTTTCTAAAACATAATTAATAACAAAACTATCACCGATTGATGAAATGTTGCATCAGTCTCTGGTAGAAACAAGTTTGTGTATCTATCACAAAACATTGAAGAAATCTTTCTATCAGCAATAAATGGAAACATAGTTTAAAAAGTCAGTCTAAGTTGTTTTTTCAACTACAGAACAAGTGGACGATAAAGTTCGGTTATCTTCTGAAGTAGCATGGCTTGTCCTATTGGTAGCTTCACGAATACATCTTCTGTGATTACTCTCCAGCTCAAATTCATCTTAAATAGAAAAACAATTTCATTACTTATAAAATTATATAACAGATGAGTATATAATTTTTTTTCAAGTAAATTTGTTGTAACAATGTGTGTTTGAGAGAACTTGGATATCTTGAAAATTTTCAGTGTTTCTAAAAATAAAAATATTAACTCATAACAAAAAAGTTATATGTTCTGATAACCTTTTACTAAAAGTACAATTTATTATTAGAATAAAATGTGAAAGGTCTTAATTCAGAAATCTATATAAACTATATACATAAGATCTAAATACCTGTAATTTCTCAGCAATTTCTTCTTCCTTTTCATAATGAATACTCCATAATTCAACTTCTCGCCAAGCATGGTCAGTGTTCCAGGGGTCATCCATATATCCACGTTCAACAACTTCACATTTCACACCAGACTGACTCTCTTCACTTTTGGAGGATGTAACACAACTCTCAAAATACTGTAAAAACAAAAATCAGCTAATGTAAACCTATTTCAAAGTTTTACCAACATAAAACATAATTTTAAGCGACAATATTTAATCTGAAGTAGATTTTGTGTATTATTTGATATACATAACTACATTTACTGTTTCAAAGATATCTCAGTCACATGTATACCAAAAAAATCAATAGTACCTACCAAATGGCCTTCAATCTATTGAACTAACATTGAACAGAAGTGTGCTATCCTACTTATAGAATTATTAGTTTATAGAGCTCTCTGGTTGATATCTAAGTCACAGTTTCTTTTGTGTTCTACACTTCCTGTAAATTTTCATATACACATACTTTGAGAAAGAGGGCTATGGATTACTTATTTGCTTATGTTCCCCTTCTTCAAACATTGAAAAATTTGTGTACAAAATGTTAGTGATACTTGATATTAAATGTGAATTCTTTAAATATTTAACAACTGAAGAAACAGCCAAGAAATATTGGTTTACCTCCCTTTAGAAATTTCTGTTGAGACATAAATTAACTTCTTCACTGGAATTTATTTGTCAATATTTAAAGAAAAATCTCTTAATATATCAGACGACACATATACTGTAATCAGTGCAGTTTGCAGTTTATATTTTAAAACTACTACTTTCAAATAACCAGTTTAAGCAAAACTGGTTTGAATTTATAAATAGTATCATATCAATCTGACAAGTGCAATTTGTGACAAAAATTATGTAGTAAAAGTCATACAGTGACTAGACTATTCAAATGCATGAGATTGTTTTACAGATAAAGCAGAATCAACTATAAAAGGGCAACTGTGATCTTACAAATTTTTAACCCATCACAACAATGAGTAATACATAATAACATTTAAATATGTACCTTCTACAATGCTGGGATGAATGAGATCATGTGCTCGATATAGGCTTTCGACACACCATGTACTTTACTCCTCGAAATAAACTACTATGCTGAAAATAAAAATTTAATGCTGGAAACTTAATGATTTTTAGGCTTGAGACATTTTGTTGCTGTCCAACACTTAACATTTTGGTGCCATTTTGCTGTATTTACTGGGTACTTGCTCTTTTTATTTCTCTACGAATGTCTTATTAAGGACCACCCAAGGAAATTACAGTGTAAATTCAATACAGTAAGAAGTTTGTTGATGGATAAAATTTAACTAGTAAAGTTTTTAGTTCGACAGTAACCCCAAATTATAGGTAATCGTGATCAGTACTTGCTGTTTAGTTTACAGTTTACAATAAGAATAATCAACAATGCTAAGTGTTTATTAGTGATATGACATTTTTCTTCTCCTCTGAACTAGCAGATATATAATATGCATAAATGATTCACAAAATGGCGATTACTAAGAGTATTTGTCTAGCCAAAATTTTATTTCTAATGCATTTTTAAATTTAAAAATTGCATGTTTACATGGATATGCATCTTATCTCAAGCATTATTGAAATTTTCTAAAACATTACTTGTGTGCATGTGGAGTTGACTCACAAGGAATTGAGATTAAATCACATTATTCACAATAACTGCATAAATTTATGAATGAACAGAATATAACAGAAGCATAAAATTATTGTTTTTACTTTATGAACTCTAACATAGTTATTAGACATAAAAGAATAAAAACAGTCAGTGCTGTTTGTAAGTCTACAGACATCACTTGAAAAATGTGATGTTCTAAAACATTACTTTTCTCTCAATCAACATCAGTTATTCAAAATACACCATTCCAGTATCATTTATGGAACTTTTGTTATTTTTCTACCCTGCTTTACCTGCATCATATCTTCAACACTTCTCCATGGGAAACTGCTTTCAGCTTCTGACTTAAAAAGTCCACGTACAACATCAAATTTGTTTTCTCCACTTACAAAACCCTAAAGTCAAACAGATTTAGAAAATCCTGAATAATACCATGGAAAAACAAAATTCAACTATTTGTAAAATAATTTTTTCCAAAGATTACAGTACAAAAATATTTAGAGTAAGATGATCTTTTTTTACATCCTTCAAAATTACATTTATATCTCATACACACCTGCAAATTCTTACAAAGTTTCTCAATTTCTATTTTAAATGTGTTATAAGATATATCAAAAAATCTTTTACTATCTCTTAACTAATTTGATAAGTTTTAAGTAATCTGTGTACTGCATAAATCACATCACTAAAGCTGTATGCATACATGTTTAAGTGAAAGTTATAATCTTCCTGTACTGAAAATGTATTTCCTATAGGTACTTACCACCTCTCACATAAATAGCTATTCTCATTCAGTGCTGCCCTCTATGTGCTAAAAGATTTTTTCACATCCCTCAAGCCTTGAGCTCCCACATACCTTACAATCAACTGATTCAAGTGTGTCTCACATGCAAATCATTATGTGACAACTCTTCACCAACAAGAGTGCAACACACTCTCTTGACGCATGTGACTCCCTTTATTTGATTGTACCAAACTATCACTTTAGGTTTTGGCAGAAAATGGAAGCACCGGTTTTCAGTGGGGAAGAAGGGTGAGAAGAGGTAAGTCCCTATTGGAAATACATTTTCAGTATAGGAAAATTATAACTTCCAATATAGTACCCTACCTCCTCTCACATAAATAGCTAGAATCCCACACTGAATAGGTGGATGGACCAGTGTGAAGGAAAACAAAGCAGCATTCCTAGAAAGCATCCGAAAAACACCCTAGAAGGATAGATCCTCATAGGAGAGGATCATACATGGGAGACCGCACCACGTCTGTACCAGGTATACTCTTTGCCCAGTTTGGAATGAAGTGTTGCACACATGGATGGAAAAAGGGAAGGAGCACATCCCTATGGGAGAGAATAATGTTGTGATAGGGATCCAAACCATCATATAACAAATCTCAACCCCACAGAGTACTGGAATGTGGGTGAAAGTAAAAGGATGTGCTCCTAAGTATAGAGTGGGTAGGGTACAACGGACTGTACACGGCAAGTCAACTGCATCCAAAAATTAGGCAGTTGGGAAACAACATCCATGTGGGGGTAGGATTTGGTTTGAATTTCGCTATCTGCACTAGCCATCCCTAATTCAGCAGTGAAAGACTAGAAGGAAGACAGCTAGTCATTACCACCCACCACCAACTCTTGGGCTACTCTTTTACCAATAAATAGTGGGATTGATCACCACATTATAATGCCTCCATGGCTGAAAGGGCAAGTGTTTGATGGGATGGGGATTCGAACCTTCGACCCTCAGATTGCGAGTCAAGCTTCCCTAATCACCTGGCCATACCCGGCCATGTGGGGGTAGGAAAGAGGATCATATTGGTGGAAAGTCGACTATAATTCAAACACAGCCATCTGGTGGGGGTAGAAAAGAGGGTCATACCATCTTCACCTCAAGTTCAGTAGAACGGAGGGAATCTTGTACCCCCAATCTATGAACAGGACACAAGTGATTGACAGATCCAGGAACCCGACATCCGGATGATCAGTAACGTAAACATGTCTCGGTAATGTAAACTATCTCACTCAAAACCAGTCAGATAGGAAACACCCCTAGAACAATAACATTCTTGGTATAATAAAATCAATAGATAGCATAAGAGGAAGAACCATATTAATCCGCAAGTACCTCCATTGTGACCCACAACACAAATGTATAATTGAGTGAGGAAACAGAGACACCTGTAATACAAGTGTGAGGACTTATGTTGATTGGTTCCAAAACCCATCCACTAGGAACTGACATCTACGTGGAAGTAGGATGAGGAATTCCAATCAAAGGGGTGAACTGCAATTTTCACGGCTCATTCCAAAGCTACTATATCCCCTTCAATAACCCCATACACAGGTGAATGGTTTTATCATTATATGTATAGTTTATCATTATCACATTGAGGAGGATGCCTCCATGGTCTACCACCCCAGCGACTTGGAACTGGAAAGTGGTAAGGACTCTCATACTCCACTGGAAAAAATGTAGTGGATAATCTGGAGCAATGACAACACTAGAGACAGTGCAATGGGTGACCACGAAAACCATATTTTGAAAAGCAGACAATACCTGATTTATTCAATCTAAGGTATGGCAGGGATGGGCACTATCCCCTTCTGCTTTATCCAGCAAGTTCATGGGTAAGTGCAGTCTGGAACGAGCATATTAATGAAGCAAATATATCGTGAGGACAAACCTACAATCATTCTTGTGGAACACCCTATCTAAACAGTGAGCATGTTATGGCCATGGAAATTAGAAATATGCAGTCAGCATGGCTTGACAATGCAGATTTGACTATGAGAACCATACTTGGTCAGGCACCACTTACCACAGAGTGAGATCCAAATAGTAAAAAAAATGAAAAGCACTTGAAAAAGAATATATGTATATATATATTTTTATATAAAGATAACTTATCCAGTCACAGATGATGATACAGCGATCTGATGCAGATAGTGAGATATGAACATATGTGGAGTAGTCCACATTCCCAACTGAAAAATTTCCTCCAAGGGATGATGGATATGAGATGCCAGGGAAAAGGTAAGTTGCCTGACCTGATCAGAAAACACCTGGAACAAATTATAGGAAGATAATAAGGAAGAATAAGACAACAGAATTAAAAACCAAACCCAATTGGTTAGGGTGAAAGGACAAAGGTCACAAACAGAGGATGTCTTCCAAGGAATGAATAGGTGGGAACAGGCACCATGGAAGGAAGCCATGAGGGTAACATAACAATGAAAAGCACTGATAGTAGCCTATCCAGATCCGACAGAGGATAAAGGTAGGAAATGGATAGGAAGGGAAATCGTCTAGAAGGATGAATTAACCTCCCAAGATGCTGAAGTTATAGGAAGGAAAGATTGATCTGGAAGGAAGGAAAATCATCTAGAAGGATGAATTACCCTCCCGAGACGCTGAAGTTTTAGGAAGGAAATATTGATCCCGATAAAGAAGAATATATGTGGCATGATATAGAGTATGTGAAATGTTGAAGCCATATAAATCTGACTGACTATGTCCACAGGCTAAGAGGAAAAAGAAATAAGTTTTAAGGGATAAGTGAAAAATCAAGCATGACAAATGTTGATGGCAAATAAATCCAACTGATGATGTCCACAGGCTAAGAGGAAAAAGAAATAAGTTTTAAGGGATAAGTGAAAAATCAAGCATGACAAATGTTGATGGCAAATAAATCCAACTGATGATGTCCACAGGCTAAGAGGAAAAAAAGAAACAAGTTTTAAGGGATAAGTGAAAAATTGAGCATGAGGACAGCGGTTCAAATGGAGGCAGTGAAGAACCACATTAACATCCAAATCCAGAAGGACAGCACGCCAAGACGAATGACTAATCTGGAGGGAATGCAACAAGAGAGAAAGGGTAGGAGAGATAAAAGCCTTACAGTACCGGGAAGAGCAAAAAGTGTGGGATAAAGCAGCTTAACCCATTAACTGCCAATGACGGATACTTCCGTCACTGAAGTTCTATGGCTCAGCTGCGAATGAAGGAAATATCCGTCAATCGCACATATATAACTAACTCTATGCAAATGATGATAATTACCATTTTATTGTGATTGATGGCAACTCCGTTTTATCTGTGAGTCAGAAAATGGCAACTGAGCTGCTCCTGCAGCAGATAATGGGTTAATAACCTATGGATCGAGGAGACAGAATACCCCTGGCCAAGTGAGAAGATGTGTAATATGAGGGACAGTGGGTTTAGCGGGTGAAAACCCCTGACCCAACGATTGGTAGAAGACATTCCACATACGTTGATAAAATCCCTAGAGGAAGGACAAATAGAAAAAGCTAAAAAGAAGCGACCCACTAGCACAAACCAAATCTCCTCACCAAGGACCAGATAAAAAATAGGCATGAAGATGGAGGATATGAAGGGCTAGATGGAATGCCAGTGACCAAGGTTAACGTAAAAAGGATGGAGTAAAAGGAAGAGGTAATGGAGGGGGAGATTTGAGCTAAAGCACCATGGGAATCACTGTTGTGCTAGCCAGTAAGGAGTAACCAGAAGGACTTGACACAAAGTGATATGGATGATCAAGATCACCCTATGAACAAGATAGATAGGAGGATAAACATACAGGTATTTGTTGGTCAAATCTTGACTGAAATTATTGAGAGCAAGAGAATGAGGAACTTGAGATCAAAACAGAGATAATTTGGTATTGAGGGATTTGGCAAATGCATCCAAGTGAGAAGTACCCTACTGAAGACATAGCCCTAGAAAACAAGAGGATCAAGAGACCACTCTGTTTGATAAACATTGTCTGGACAGGAAAGACGATATGCAACAAGATTGAATGCACCCAAAACATGACATGCAATGATACAAATACCAAGCGTGTGGCCCCAAAAAAGAAGATCCAAGGACCGTCCACAAAGGGAACGAGAATGGGTGTCACCTTGGTGAGTGAGATAAGCCACCACTGTAGAATTGTTGGAATGGATCATGACCAGATGATTCCTGGCAAGATGAAGAAAATGATCCAATGTATGATGTACAGCCAGAAGCTCCATGATGTTGATATGGTAAAATCTTTTGGCTGCAGACCACTGACCTGAAGCTTCCTGCTGATTGACCCATGGGCCTCAGCCCTGAAGGAAATCAACCATGAAGATATGTAAATCCAGACAAGGAGGAGGGAGTGAAACACCTGCCGATGTGTGACCCTTGCCCAACCACCAGTGTATATCGACTTGAAGGGAAAAAGGAATCTCCAATGGATTCCAAGCAAGATTCCATTGGTCATGTAGTGTCCACTGAAAAGACTGCATATGTGCTCGATCCAAGGGGATAAGGGCTTCCATAGAAGAACACATCCCCAAAAGTGATAGAACCTCACGAGCTGTAAAAGAAGGAGCAGTAAGGGCATGGAGAACTGAAAGCTCCATCAAACAAAATCAAAGAGGAGTAGGTTGTGTCTGACTGAGATGAGTGTTGAAGAAAACACTCAAATGGACAAGATATTGGATATAAGGAATGACTTCTCCAATTTGTTTAAGCATCCCACAGAAGCAGCAGATGAATATGATGGGTGGATTCCTGGACGGAATGAGCTAACGGAAACCAGACCTCCATGTAATGATGGAAGCACAATCCCCGAGCACGTAAATGATGGTTGATTGCCTTGACTACCCCCAAAAGACATATGGGGCCAGAGCAAGCCCGAAGGGCAGGGCATGAAATTGATAAACTATCTTGTGAAGAACAAACCAAATATAGAATCTCAACAGTATTAGGGGCTTGTCTAGGCTCAGAATGCGACAAACGTTCCACCTAAGAAAAAAGGGTAGTTTGCTTTTGCACTGACTCCACATGGAATTCCAAAGTCTCAGGAATATTACTAAAAACACACCACTGAAGAAAAAGGGCCTTATGTAAGTCCCAGATATAAAAAGGTGGTAAACGAAACTTGGACAAGGTGGCATCCCTCACCAGCAGAACCCAACAACACATGTGTAAAGCTAGAACCAAAGAAGACAAATGTGCCAACGTTGAGAGGCAATCCCTTGAAAACCTCTCAGATCTCTGTAGATTGCCTTGGAAAGGAGGTGGATAGTAGACAAGTACTGTAGGAGAGTCAATGGGGTAAGATAAAGGCGGGGAAAATTGGGCATGGGATAAATGAACAGGATAATCAGAGTCTGCCCCCCACAGGGGCAAAATCAATTCTAACTGTTGGAAATCAAGAAACGCATATTTAGCTTGATGGTAGGCCAAGGCAAACTGATCTGAAGCCTGTGGATAGTGAGGCATGCTAGCACTCTCAACCATCTGAGAAACAAAATGCTCAACATGAACCCTAATATCCAGGGAGGGGGGAAACCAAATACTGAGAGAAGAAAGTAACATGTAACAAAGAAGGACAGGGATCACATGAAATCAGGGAAATGGATAGAATAGAACATACCTGAGAAATCGTGTATTAAAAAAAGCCATATTAAGCCTAGCTGATTCCACACTAGGGTCAAAAGGAGACATGGCAAAATCAGGTGGAGGAAAAAGGCTGGCAAAATCCTCATCAACCTGAACTGGTTCAGCATATTCAGGAGGAATAGGGGGTCACGATCAGGAGAAGCAGGTTGATTCATATAACAATCATTCTCACGGTGGATGATAGTCAATAAATCCAAATACAAGTCCCCTCCACCTGTAGCCTGTGTGAGTGTGCTAGTACAAGATATGATCTCCAAAATGGTAACTTGAACTTTGGAATTCATTGTGTAATGATGAAAATCAAACACACAATTGTTTGATGAAAACAAAAATGAAAAACTGGGAAAATAAGTTATCTAAAACTCATCAACTGTTGAAAAACAAAAAAATCCATTTCAGAATAATAACAACAACAAAAATATCACAAAGTTGAACAAATTCAAAGAGCACAATAAAAAACATCTTGACACAAGTACTGCCAAACGAGAAGTGATAGTTCGGTAGAATTGAATAGAGATTCACGTGTCAAGAGAGTGTGTCACACTCTTATTGGTGGAGGATTGTCACATGATGATTTACATGCGAGATGCATTTGAATCAGTTGGTTGTAAGGCACTTGGGAACTCAAGGCTTGTAGCATGTGAAAACATTTTTTGCATATGGAGGGTAGCATTGAACATGAGAGGAGGTAATGTACTGTATCGGAAACAGAGATAATTAATAATCAGCCAAAATCTATTCAACCTGTTCAATTATATTCATTACCGAACTACTGTTCAAAAAATAGAAACCTAGTAAATACATGACTGAATATGTATATATATATTAAACAAAAGAACCATGGATAAAAATATAAAATTAAATAGACACAATCTTTCACTGACACTAGGAAGTATGCAGAAGTGCAAGTTAAAACACAACTATTACACAATGAACTATAAGAAGCAAAAATAATTTAGACTAATTGCCTTTATAAGAGCTAAAATAATTGATATTAAATGTTATATTCAATAAAAAAATGCATTAAAAATCATGTTTTACTGTTTTACCCCTGGTAAGGAAATGTGATTTTGGTCAGCTGTAAAGAGGGCAATAAACTCCAAACTATTGCTATCTTTTGCTAGCAATGTGGTTTTCTGCCATCTGAAATAACAAGATACAACTTTTTAAAAAGCCTGGAAGCAGTAGTAAATTAATATGTCCAATAAATATTATTATTATAAAAGGACAGCAAGTGTAAGAGTACATGTTACTATAAACAAAAGGACAACCAAAACAGCACTGAATGAAATACAATAACAAAATACTAAAAGAAAAATTACAAAATAAAAATCTTCTGTAATACCCGCATAACCACTTATACATTATGCTAAATATTCTCAATTAGTCATTAATTTGTGGAATAATGAAAACACAATTCCATTTATATAAGTCAGGATAAAAAGTTCATGAAATTAACATCCATGCAAATCATTTGATCAAAATTCTGCCTAACTGATAAGTTCTGGTGTTGAACAAAAGTCCTCTTAAGCAGTGACTTGAAGGAAACAAAAAATTATCTGAAATGCCATTTTACATGCTTCTGATTTTTAATTTATATTTTTTACATATTTCTGTTCATTCATATCAAAGTGATCATGAAATAATTACTGTTATATTCACTGCCTTGGAGTGCCATGTTCTTCAGTAAACTATCGAGGTAATCAGATCATCTAGTATTTCATAAAACAAGTCACAAAACATATACATCCAAATTTGTACTTATAAGAGGTGATAATAGGTCACCTTGCACACATGCATCTATATCTAAAGAATCAACATGAATTTTTTTACTTGAATACTTCTAAACCATTTTTACGCTCATAAGAAAGATGTTGCACAAAGTTTCCAAACTACATCAATGTGTCACAAAAAATTTCAGCCAAAAGAGAATAAAGAACTAAGAATTTAAGGTATTGTCATTTAATCTTTTGCAACTAACCATAAAGAAATTATTTTGGAATATATCTTCCATACATTTATAGGATACAATATAACTATGATATCTCCTTGCAACATATTTTTCATTAGCTCATTGTACAGGCTCTTATTAAAAAGACTTTGAGTTGAAATTCAAAAATATTTAAAATTAAAAATATGTTTACATTCTTTGAGCTAATTTACAAAAAACAAAAATATTACCGTGTGATGACAACAAATATGTAATGGTTTGGCCCCCAGCGAGGTAGAGCACCCTTGCCTCTGAGGCCAGTTCGTCCAAGTGGATTTCTGTATTTAAAGTAAAAAATTTGACATTTATAACACACTGTATAGATGGATTCTCAAAATCCTTACATCGGCTGATATGAAATCCAGCATCTTCATTTTAAGCCAATTTTATAGGTAATTCAAAGTTTCATACCATTGTTTTTGTTTCTCACAGCTGTAAGATTTCATGAATACTAATTACTCTATTACATATTTGATGACGGAAAGTATACATATTATCAAATGTGCATTTTATTTACTCACATTTTTTATATGTTCACATACATACTTGTGAAAGTGTATAACAAAGACACGTTCAATATTATGCAACTAAAGAATTTATATTTTTGTACTTAGACAAACTTTAAATACTGTTTATTTCTTGAAAATCAGCTGTTATGTCCTTGCTAGCTTAACATTTAAAGATTTAAAATTTTTATTGTACAACTGAGGACATACAGTGTATCTGAACAATCAAACTTACACACACATATACACCTTTTACTATCTAATTGAGGACAATGTGTATTTTAACAACCAAACTTACACACACACACACAATACAGCTTTTACTATCTAACTGAGGACAATGTGTATTTTTAACAACCAAACTCACACACACATATACACCTTTTACTATCTAATTGAGGACAGTGTGTATTTTAACAACCAAACTTACACACACACACACAGCTTTTACTATCTAATTGAAGACACATTAAGCATATAGCCAGTCAAGCAAGGTCAGTACATGTACAATTGTCACTATCGAAGTGAGGATTCACAGTGTACTTAATCAAATGAGGATGCAATGCACACATTTTTAACTACATGTGGTACTCACACAGGAAGTCCTTCTCCATTTAATCTATACACCAAAGATTTTCCATCAGAATCTAGAATCCAAGACTGTCTGTCAATACTAAAGCCTGCTGCATTAACTGACAAAGAGTTCCACTTAAGGACAGGAATGGCACATTTAGATCTGAGAAGGCTGTCATAGAATTGGGAAAATATATGAAGTAGAAAATAGCTGACATGTGAAAACTGAACTTTATTTTAATGAGAATTTAATTTCTATAAAGTAATATTCTTATTCAAAACAATTTTAATATGTAATATATATTACTTCAGTAAATTTCCTAAAAATACACAATCACAAATACAAGAGGTTTTGAATTTAGAGCTAAAAGAAAGTCTCCTTTTATGAGCATTTAAAATTTAAAAAAATTTAGAAGATATTGAAATAAAAAATAGAATAAAGCCTACAGTACAATTTGATTATTTATTGTATATAATGCAAATTAGATTTCTACTCCCTTTCAAAAGAATTTTAAAAAATTAAATAAAAATCACGAAACAGTAGTTACATTATCAAAGTTTAACGATTACATTTTGAAAACATGCAAGTTTTTGTATAACAGATATAACCATTTTATAATAGACTACAGTAGTAGCAGAATGGGATTACTACACATTATCGGTTGATACATAATTTGTTTCAAATGTGAACAATTTATCTAAAATACAAGTTCGGCTATTTAAAAATATCAGTCATCTTGCTTAAAGATGGTTTCGAGTTTATTATTTCCAAATTCAAACCACCTTGTTTATGCATAATGGAAAAATAGTACTGTCTCATAACTGTCACTGTGACATAAAGAATTGTTTGAATTTATGGGTTTTGTTTCATGTATACATTTGTGAACACTGTGAAACAATACTAATTTCCACCTACAACTCAGTTCTGGTATTACTATTTTTCTTTTTACAGAAAATTTGAGTTTAAAATTCCAGAACCTTTAGATATCTAAATTTATTACCAGAAATAATTACAAAATATAAAGTGAATATCATGCATGATGATTGTACAAATCATGAGTATATGATAAAACCCAAAAAGCAAACACGGATATATAATAAACCCAAAATGGGTATATGATAAACCCAAAAAGTAATTATATGGTTTAAATATATCTGACTAACTTCCACATTCACAGATTTACACATACTGGAAGTAAAAACTTACAGCAATATATCGTCATCAACAAATGGATGAAGATAAACTGGAAATTGTGAACGGTGCTGTGAATATATAACTGGGTCGTACTCCACCCATAAAACCTCCCATGCCACATACTTGTCTGGAACTGGAAACCGTTGAACAGCAGTACCTTGGTAAGGGCTTTGTCGAGCAAGGTAGTGAAGGGAAATCTGAAGAGATTCTAGTAAAACAAAAAAAATGTAAAAAAAATTGAATTAGGATACAATTTTTAATTTATGTAAAGATATCACTATAATTTTATTCCTTTGTTGTTGAGTACAAAGCTATACTATAGTCTATATGTGCTCTGCCCATCACTGAGACTACATTAAATTACACAGGCCTGCAATGGTTTTATTGTCTTGAAATTTTTACATGTTCTACAGTACTTCCTATACGCTGAATCCAAAAATGATATCTATGTTTCTTCATTGCATAAAGATTTTTCACAAAACGTCATCATGCAATACATAAAAGAAAGACCACAACACATAGGATGAATGAAGATGCATATTCATTTCAAAAACTCTGTTCTTCCCTTTTCTTCAGTTTGTTTGTATTTTTGTTAACAAACATAATAATGAAAATGTTCATTGTGGTAAACGATATAATAATTTGATCTAAGTAAGAGTTTTTTCTTCCTCATTTGTAAAAAATCCTAATACGATAAAAAAATTAATATTATTTTTGAAATCTGCATAGCTGAATTATGAAAAATCTGTTATTAAAACCCAAACAACTTTTATAAAGTTTAAATTCCTAGGCCTTTGTTATAGATGATATTGTTTCTATCATTTAACTGTGACAACTAAAAGTTAACTAAAATAGTTTTAATTGGCTGGTAAGAATTCATTTAGAATAGTGAAACAACCTTTATCTACCTGCTGTAATTTAGTGATGATACTAGCAAAGATCTTCATCAGGTCATTTGAGGCAGTTTTCAGGAGCTTGCAATGTTGTTTTCAAATTATTTCAAATTAATGAAGTTTATTAACCTATTGTACAAACAGCTGGTCCACTGGACCAACCCCAGATTGGAGAAGGAATGTTGAATATAATTCTGAATTTACTACCTATATCTAAATGAAATATGGCAGGCTTTTAGTAAAATGTACGAATCTGTTGTACACAAGAAATCAGATGTGTTACAGAAATATTTACATTCTAGATATGTCTTTGAACTGATGATGTCAGTCTGACTCAGACTGAAAAGTCGAAGTTAAAAGTGATTTTTCATGTGAATAATATAATTATTTTTGTCCATCATACAGTTTGCATATTGTATTTACATAACCTCTAGATCCTTTGAAATGCATATTAACTTTTTCTTTCAGTATCCATATATATATATATATATATATATATATATTGTATCTGTTATTTACTCTACCATAAACTGTTACTAAATCAGTAAAGAAGGGTAAAATTAATACTTGATAACTCTGACATCAAATACATAATACCATGTTGAATGGCATTCTGTAAAAGGTTATAGCATATGTGCAGTTTTAATTAGTTGTTAATGGAATACTATTATATATATATATCATTCATAATGCTATTAATTTTTACATGTACAAAGTGTCATTACATGTTGTCAAAATCTTAAGACTTGTTTTCATCATCAAAATCATTCTAAAACACTTCTATGAAAATAAGTTAGGCCTAATTAAAGAAATTTTATGCATACAAGTTAAATCATCCAGAACATTTCACATTCCTCTTGTACCTTTCACATTCTATCAACAGTTCATAAAACATACAAGTATAAGTTTCACAATTTGTTCTTTGAATTACCCTTTTCTTGAGAACAAATACTGCTTCTGTGCAATGCTTTAGTCCAGTTGTTCTTTTTAACTTTTAAGTCTTAAACTCGCAAAATCATAAAGTTCTTCATTGTCAAACTAATGTCAGCATAGGTTAAGAAAATGTTTAATAAAACATTTCTTTACAAATAATTGGTTCATATTTGTTCAAATTTCTTTGGTTATACTTGAATTACTTGTGAATAAATCAGCCTGTAATTGTTAACTAATTTCTTGATCAGCTATAACATTACCAAACAAAAAATTTTATTTTAAAAAGCTCAGACACCTTGATAAAGATAACTCATTACACTGAAAGGAGATTTAAAATTTTCATGTGACTACAAACTCAGTCAAATTCACAAATTCATGTAAGGCACTGAAATGCTGAGAGCAAATTGGCCAACCACATTTCGAGTATGTAATTTTTAGGTAAATAGCTGAAATCAACTTCAAGTTCAATTTTTTTATGGTAACTATGCATTATTCATCTGGGTTTTCCTGATATTAATATCATACCCTATTATTTTTATTTTTCAGAATTCACAAATTTATTCAGTCTTTCAATATACTGGTGAGCAAAAAACTTTGACTTTTTTAATCTCTTTATCACCCATAAACGAACTTATTGTAGATACTTTCAAAGTATACAGTCAATTCAGAGAAATGTAATGCAGCCAATACCTTTGGGTTACTATTAAACATTGTTTTACCCTAACATACACTTTATTTTATTGAGTAACAACAGTCAATGTGTGAATTATTTCAGCATATGTTATCTTGTTTATTTTCTCCAACAGATGATTTTTTATTCACTGAAGCAAAATAAAGTGCTTTACAATATTAATTTAAAAGTAAAATATGAATGATCCATTCTTATGTGTAATAACATAAGCTACAGCACCAAGAAGCTAAATGCCATTTGTTTGCTCAGTTGTTATCACTGATGTTTTTTTAGGATTCCAGTACAGTATTTTTGTAAATTATTTACTAATTATTCTTTGAATTTATGGTATTCTAAAATCTTCATTCTAGTTTGGTAAAGATGGTTATATTATAAGATTAGCTGATTTACCCATTCACTGCACAGGAGGACAGACCAGAATCCATTTGCATGCCTTTCAGCATCAATTTGGCTTGTTTGCTTTGTTTCTTCAGAGCTTCATTTGATCACATCAATTGTTTTCCCCCGTTTCAGTTATCCAAATTTTTTCTAAGCTTTCTTGATTTTTGTTGTGCTATTCATCTACTTTTTCTTTATCTTCCTAAGCAATATTTTCTTTTTTGCACTGATTCTGAACTATTTTTTATTTTATTCAGAACTTTAGTTTAGAATTTATTTCATAGATGGTGTTAAAAATGTCCAATTAAAATGCAAAGCTGAGATTCCTTGATGCTGTAAACATGACATCTTTAAATCGAACGTTAACCAATATCTTAAATCTCTGATTTAATCTATAATACTATTGAGAGAGCTTTATATAAATATGTTCATTTATAATAAAAAACAAAATTCCCATAAAATCTCGAATCGACTTCCATAAAATAGTCAGTGCTGTAACCACTAAGCCAACTTTGACATCAAGTATTTGAAATTTAATATTAACAAATATAATTTAAACTATCATGGCATTCATGTTTTTCTGAATATTCAAAGAGCTTGCTCTAAACACGGTCACTTATTAAAAAAATTATAAACAAGTCACAAATGTACTGGTATTTGAATGTGAGACTTCTACTTGAGGTTCAAGCACACTGAGCCAGTTTGAGTGTTACCAACAGACGCTGGTAATCTGTCATCAGCAAGATATCTAAAATATCTATAGATATTTTTTAAAACTGATTTTGTAGCATTTTATTGAATAAGTGCATTATCCCCATTAGTTTTATGCTGAATAAAGATTCTCTTTCATACCGTCCTTTTGTGACATTTTCTTCAAGTCTTCCAAGAAGACTTGGGCTTGATTCATCATTCTTTCTAGCTCTCTCATTTGTCCCCTAATTTGTGTCATAACTTTCTTCTCATAGTCAACATCTTCAGCTATCGTAGTTAATCTACAGAAATAGAAAAAAAAAACACATTTTAACTCTGATGAACTTTCAGTGAACAAATTGCATTGGCAGATTGTAAACATTAAATTAAATGACACTTTTCTTGAGTGAAAAAAATAATAATAATAACAATTAAAAATACATGGAAAATAGTACACATCAAGTAAACATATATATATTTTTGTTACAATATTGACAGACAAATACTCTTACAGTTCCATCTGTTTCTTTGGTATATCATTATTTCTGATCTTCTCTTCTTGATATCTGCAGTATTCTTGAGCCAGTTCTTTCCAGTAATTATAGTCTTTGTCCTGGAGAAGTCCAGCCAGATCCTTGCCAAACAGACCTCCTTCCTGTGTGTGTGTGAGAAAAATGTCAGTAATTTGAAAAATATCCAGTAAAAACCCAATCAAAACTATAAAATACTATATACTGTTTAAAATACCATACAGATATTTAAATTTCAAAAATTTAAATGTTTTCTTAAATTACTTATATTAAATCTTGTATTATTATTTTAGTGATAAGTCTGTAGCAAATTGTTTTTAAACTTGTTATTTTACTTGTACATTATTGGTAAGCTACCGTATTTTTTGGTGTATAAGACGCACTTTTTTACCCCAAAATTTCATGTTAAAATCTGCTTGCTTCCTATACACCAAAGGTATGAATAATATATATATATATATGATACACACAAGCCATGTGTAAATATATTTAAATAGGCATGCATAGTTTAGTTCAACTGAATGTGTTACTTATAACAATAATAGTTTTTCTTTTAAAAACATAACTATTTAT